GGAAAGTGGCAACAAACAACACAGGAGAGAAGTTGTCAAGAGAGACAGAATAGAGGGAGAAAATATATACCTATAATTTAGGTTTAATAGTTCAAATGCCTATTGCCTCAGCTGTGTGTAGTAGACGAATACGAAGTCTATTGGAAGGATTCGGTGGGATACGATGAATCACTTTGAAGGCTCTCGTTTTCTCGATTACATGACCACTATCAATTAAGTGTGACAAAATTGTGCTACGGATTGTTTTTGTCTGTCCTTTGCCAAACCACGATGGGAGATGTTCACCAACACGTTGGCTGAGCTGTCTAGTAGTACGCCAAATATAACTGTCTTGCGAGCAGAGCAAGAAAGATATGTACGGATGACCTCTTACAAAAGGAATTTGAATATTCAAATGAACTGTCGTCAAGATTTGACAGAATAGTTCTAAAATATTTGGGCGCCGAGTGAGAAGTAGACATTTGTAAAAAAAATTATATTTGTAATATCACAGCGATATTGAAATGAGTAATTCCAACGTTTCGTTCGGCAATCTGGTCCTAACTTCTTCAGGGAAATTAATCAAAATTAACATAACAGAGGTTTTATATATAAAAGGCACATCTTTTGTTTTTAAAAACTTTATCCAATCATGATTCATAGACACAAGTATTAACAAGTATAATAAAAAAAATTGTATGAGCTGTGATCAAAATTTTTTCCAAATGTCTACTTCTCACTCGGCGCCCAAAAATTTATAACTATTCGGTCAAATCTTGACGACAGTTCATTTGAATTATTTTGCTATCGAATTAAATTAACAAAGAAACTATGTAATTGGCACAACCATCGTGTTTTCAGTCTCCGTTGTCTGGAACGAAATGCACATCCTAAATCCGTAGCTGTCGAGTCACCTGACAACTCCAGTAGGTCGAATAAAGCAGCTCAATATTCAGAAAGAAGACATTGCAATAAGTTCGACAGGGTGCTTAAACTAAACTATAATCCTAAACACCATAATTTTGAAAATACGTCTAATCATAAAATTCTAGATACTAGCAGTTTGAACGGACATGAAGGTTTGATGTTAGCTGATGCATAGGAAATCCTGATTAATAAATCAAAATGGATATGTATCACTAATTAATAATACTTGGTCAAATTCCTGACTGTCCATATCTTCCTATGGAGACGTTAAGAAATGTTTTACAACTGTTTACACACACACGCATGCACAGTCTGTTTAAAGTGTTTAACAAAGGCAGACCAATATTTGTAAGTCCGAGGTCAAATTTTGATCACAACTCATACAATTTTGTTTATTATACTTGTTAATACTTGTGTTTATGAATCATGATTGGATAAAGTTTTTAAAAACAAAAGATGTGCCTTTTATATATAAAACCTCTGTTATGTTAATTTTGATTAATTTCCCTGAAGAATTTCGGACCAGATTGCCGAACGAAACGTTGGAATTACTCATTTCAATATCGCTGTGATATTACAAATATAATTTTTTTACAAAGTAATTTGAATATATTCACGATTCCTTGATGGAGATGGGCTATCCGAGTAGTTTCATAAAGAAACATATGAAAACATCGGAGAAACAACCGGAGACTCTGACTGCACGTAAGAAACCTCTATTTATTTAGTTGCAATTTAATGGTGACTTATCAAGTGAGATTCTATTCCAAAAACTTTCAAGGAGTATGCGAAGAACATTTTATGCAGCACACCTGTGTTTGTCATTCTCTAGCCGACGAATGATTGGGACGCAAACGAAGGATAAGCTTGATAGTTTTGCCACATCTATATGCATTTATCAATTCAACTGCACCTGCGGTGACAGTTATATTGGGCGTACTACTAGACAGCTCAGCCAACGTGTTGGTGAACATCTCCCATCGTGGTTTGGCAAAGGACAGACAAAAACAATCCGTAGCTCAATTTTGTCACACTTAATTGATAGTGGTCATGTAATCGAGAAAACGAGAGCCTTCAAAGTGATTCATCGTATCCCACCGAATCTTTCCAATAGACTTCGTATTCGTCTACTACACACAGCTGAGGCAATAGGCATTCGAACTATTAAACCTAAATTATGTATTCAAAAAAGTTCGTACAGCCTTTATTCTTTACCTTACAACGTGAACTATGGAAAACTGGACTGTTGTATTTCTGTGTGAAATTCTGACATTGATATATACAGACCTAATCTCCTGCATGTCTGTTTGTATTTCTCTCACCCCGCCCACACACTTACTGATTTACGACCTGACTTTCTCTCGCCCTACGTGTGACCTTTGAAATCCTATTGGTTGTTCACTGCCTTAATTGATCAATGACATTAGAGCTTCTCAAGGTCATCTGAAACATTTTTATATACATGCACAACCGCTGTCAACTTATTTTCGGGACTGTTGTTTCGAGACAGTAAAAGCTGTCTTACCTACCAACGTCCAGTCTTTTCTTCTGTCTTTATGGCCCAACGGTGTTATTATTGTTGTTGTTGACGTATGATCAGGACGGATTAGCCAGTGCATGAAAGTCAGTATTCGCTCATAGTCTAATAGGTTCTATAGTTCCTGTCATAACAATTACTTCGCCTCAATTCGTTGTGTTTCCAGCCTTAAGCAGAGCTGGCTAGAGGGTGGGGAGGGGAACAGAAAGCTATTTTATTACGTTGTTGGCGTAGTTAAGCGATGATACTCGTTCGGCTATTCTTAGTCTGTCTAACGAAAGACACTACCGAGTAGTAGTTACAAGTAAACACAGAGAGATACATAATCTCAAATGCAAACAATTACAGCTCGTATGAACACAACTGATTTCACACAAATGAAACTAAATCATGATCATATAGGCGTTTTATGCAAATGACGACATTCAACATGTAAGAAGAACAACGTCATACTCACGCAACGGTTAATTTCTGTCCAGCCCAGTTTTATCTAAGGAAAGTTGTGGAGATCATCTTGGATAGACTTCCGTCTGTCATGTCAGTTGTCCTATTCACTGCTTTCATTCCGCGGCGACGGCGGATGTTCTTCTCACGAAAGTGAAAGATGGAATGCGAACGTATGAGATGCTTACACAAGTGGACATACGCAGGTCTACATAGGAGCGATGGAAAACCTATGCTGATGTGTACACGGCCTTCGGAATCTGAAAACACCGAATTCGGTATGAACCTAATGTGGTCACCGGAAACCATGGGAACGCAGCTCCTGACGCTTCTCTACTGAATTATAGATCAAACTTCAAGTCGAAGGTTTGGAGAGTGAGGTGGCTCTTTAGGATGATCACCTTGCTTTAGTCTGGTCAGTATCTCAGTACTCGCACAACTTACGAGATTTTATGTGGCGCACTTCACGGTGCCCACAATATGCTTCAAAAACATATCTTTCTACGATTAAAAGCATTGAGGAACTGTTTCAGCTGATGCCACTTCTAGGATGACTTTGTCCCACTACTTATTTCATTATTACTATGCATATATCCGTTCGATTCTGTACGCAATATATGAAAGTAATTGAAATCTGAATTGAACTGAATAGTTTCTGAGATTAGTTAACCATCTCGATAATTGAATCGCAGTTCGTGCTTCAAAACAGCACTCATCCATAACGAGAGAGGCGTTCAAAGTGAATACAGAAGACAAGCTGACTGGCTGCCTATTATCACCAACGATGACATTCTTAATTGTGGTGGACTGGAAGAATGCGCGTTCGGTGCGAGGAATCAGGAATACGCTGGACCACCGATAAGAAGACTCTAGAATATCTGAATTTCGCTCCTGGATGATATATGTCTAGTGTCATACAAACTCGATGACTTAGAGGCAGGTGAAAACCAACAAACTTGCTAAGGAGGCTGACTGGTAGCGAAAACAAGACTCTATCCAGGTGAATATAGAGAAGGTGGAGATGAAGATAACACTAACAGAAACGACAACCAGCACCAATCACCATCAACGAGAGAGATTTGACAGAGGTCACCTACTTCACTTATCCAGGCTGCAGCATACTTCCAACTACATGTAGTCGGAACGGGTGGAGATGTCAAAGCCAGTCAGAATCGGAAAGGTAAGATGCACCTTCATCAACCTGAAAGCAGTTTAGAAATTTTCTGCTTCACTCTGTCTCAGCATTCGCATTTTTAACACAAATGTCAAGTCGATCCTTCTATACGGGTCAAAAGCATGCACTGCGTGTGCGTCACGGAAAGGGTTTCCAACAGGTCGCTGCAGACTTTCATCAACAGCTGTCACCTTCGTTGGCACCATACTGAAGATCAAATGGCCAGCCAGTCGGCTTGCCAGAAAGAATTGGTACCAAGAAACTCTGCAGTGGAACAAACCACAAGGTAAGAGCCGATTACTCAACATATATGTGAGAGAAAATAGAGATGCATTGACCGGGCATATATTGAGAAAACCGTCGAATGACATAGCGCGCAATGCAGGCTATCCGTCACTCGGGTGGAATGGGGAAGTGCGAGAATGATATGGAGATCGCGTGGAAAGGTGGAGGATGAGTAGATGAGAGATTATGGATAATCGTGGAGCTAGACAGTTGAAGACGACGGCAGAAAACAACACAAAGTGGAGTCGTGGTGTTGTTGAAGCCGGCCCTATGTTCCACTCGGAGCCACTCAAGGGAATAATAAAATTCAAAAAGGAGAAGGCATTTGTTAACTGATTATTTTTTTCAAAAAAACAAACAATAAAACTGCTTTATAAACAAATAAAAATAAACAAGTAAAACAAAAAAACAAACAAAAACAAAAATTAGTTGGTAATATCATGGAACAGCAAACCAGTAGTAGTATGAAAGACAAAAAGGCTAATATACTCCGTCAATCCAGAAAGTTACGTCATATGACAATGTCCCGCGTCCCCCACCTCTCCCCAACAACGGAGTCTTTCTCTTCTTATTGACGCGATTTCTCCCCGACGTGTCTTGTTTCTGAGATGAAAATATCAACAAGAAAAAAAAGAATAGAAATGAAACTTATAGCAGCAAAATGCTTAAGAGATTTCTTTAGCACGCACATAATCATGAAGTGGGAATTTGCCACTTAACTAATACAACAAGAAAAAATGAAAACACATAAGTGATACTGTATGCCTACATAATCAATTTGAATATGCCCATAGTTTTTTTTCGGAATATTAGGGAAGATATGTAGCTCAGGTAGATGATTTTGAATGAGTTGTGTTCTCTGAGGAGCTGGTTGACTGTTTTGAATTGCAAAGGTTTCGTCGCCGTCATCCCCCTTCTGGACAATATCCCCCCATTCAGCATAGGTTTTAGTATAAAATAAACTCATTTGATGAATTCCCACTCCACGAATAACAATGTAATCGTCTCCATTCTGACAACCACTGTCATGACTGGCTGTTAATTTACGTCTCTGTTGATCATATTTAGTGACTTGGAATTTGAACTTTCTTGTTATGTCACGTGATTTACTTTTTATAAGCTTGTAAATTTGGTCAATAATAAATAACGTGTGTTTGTTAATCGATGGCTGATTCACTTGACTACCAACCAGGTTTCTAGGATTTCCCTGACTGCATTCCTGGTGTACATGCATTGATTAATATAAAAGAACATATACATCATATCTATTTACAGCCAATTTGTGTTGTTCTTGGTTTCGGATTCGAAGGGGACGCCCACTTTGTTGACCGATGTAATGTCTGTTACAGTTCATACATGCAATTTATTTTGTAAATGGTATTAATTTTATCTTCTTTTTCTGTTGGATGACTCTCTCGGTTTGCATAATATCGAATGAAGTGATTGTTCTGGCCGTCTGGCTAGTGTGCTATATTTATTTCAAATGGCTTTAATATTCTAGCTGTTACTTCAGAGATATTTTCATTCTTATATATGGTAGGATGAATTTTCTTGTAGTCTTTGATAATGGTTTCTTTCTGTTGGTGTTGTGACTCGAGTTTAAACACTTTTTGATGAAATTGTGTGTTGGTATCCATTCTTTTTGAAGACGGTTAGAAGGTATTTGTCGTCCGTTCTCTTCAACACTGGAGTAGTGCTACAGTGTGTTTGAACTCTTTTTTAAACAATGTCTGCACACAGTTTCTTTTGTGAGTAATTGGTTTGGCTTTATTACTGTTATAGTTGAGTATTTGATCTGCGTGTGTGTTGTGTGTGCGTTGATTTTCTACATACTTGTGTTTCTAAATTTCTTGTGTTAGTTCTGTTGATTGAGACAAACATCTAAGAATGGAATTTTGTTGTGGTCTAATTCTTCTTCTTCTTCTCCCCTGGTGAATTCAATGTCTTCATATATGTTGTACATTGATTTGTGGATATATTCGAAATCACATTTCTTTTAATTATTACAAATGTATCATCAGTGTGACCTACCTGTCCAGAATTTTGATTTAATTGTAGTTAGGTAGAGCTATTAAATCTTTGCATGAGCGATTCAGCTGTTCTACCATATATAAGCGAAAATATTTTTGAAATAACAGCTGGAATATTGAAACCGTCTGAAATAGATATAGCTAACAAGCCAGTCAACCAGCCAACACAATCATTTCATTCGATATTGTGCAAACTGAAAGACCCATCCAACAGAAAAAGAAGATAAAATTAATACCATTTACAAAATGAATTACATGTATGAACTGTAACTTACATTACATCGGTCAACAAAGTGGGCGTCCCCTTCGAATCCGAAACCAAGAACATCACAAATTAGCTGTAAGAGGACATGATACATGTTCTTTCATATCAATTAATGCATGTACACCAGGAATGCAGTCAGGGAATTCCTAGAAATCAGCCATCGATTAACAAACACGCGTTATTCATTATTGACCAAATTTACAAGCTTATAAAAAGTAAATCACGTGACACAACAAGAAAGTTCAAATTCCAAGTCACTAAATATGATCAACAGAGACGTAAATTAACAGCCAGTCATGACAGTGGTTGTCAGAATGGAGACGATTACATTGTTATTCGTGGAGTGGAAATTCGTCAAATTGCGGTGAGAGATGGTTGCTAGCCAAATTGGTTCACAGTAATTGAGGTCAATGTTAGTCATGTGAAAACAAGGTCAAGATGGACAGGCGGATACAGTTAACATATAGATGAACTGACACAGCCACAAGAGATGCAAGGTTAACTTTGTGTGAGAAACAACCAATCAACAGACTGTATTTTCTACTTGCATTAACCTACAATAATGTACATCAAAATCTATAAATATGTGTTGATTTTCCGTAATAAACGTTCTGTTGCCTGGCCCTTGTCTTCTGTTGTTACAAAATGAGTTTATTTTATACTAAAACCTATGCTGAATTGAGAGGGGGAACGACGAAACCTTTGCAATTCAAAACAGTCAACCAGCTCCTCAGAGAGCACAATGAATTCAAAATCCCCATAATTTGTTCAGAACATGAATAATTACAGCGAACAATCGTGTGGTTCGTAATAACAATTTCTTCTTCAGGCTTTACAAATATAAATCTATTTATGTTAGCCTACAATAACCGACAGTAAAGGTAGAATTAGAATCCAAATATATCAGAAGGTGTATTGTGGAACACGCATGCAACACGGAATAGTCTAGTCAGTCTTCATCAATAATGCAATGAAACAATCCAATCGGAACGGTAGAAGATGAAAGACTTGGTAAGCGAATGTCTCTCTATGTACAGTGAAGTGATGTGCACACGCCTTGTCTTCAACGCACGCACGCTGTGCACAGATTTTCCATGTTGTGTGCCGGCTACTTATCGCCTTCCTTCATATTATGATTTCTTTATGTGTTCTTTTCACATCGTCTCCCATGTATCTAGGCAAGCAACGCTGTATCATTTGCTTTCTCTGACATCAAATCTATCTATCTATCTGCTATTTGATGTTTTTATGCCGATTAGCATCTCTTTATATACACATATATATACGGCTGATAAATCTTAACAGTAGCACACACCGCACAATGACATTATTTATCCCTTGGGTTTGGAGTCGAACATAAGGCTGGCTTCAACATAGCAGTATTTGGGTTAGGAGTGGAGTGCTGACTAGGGAAGAGGCAATCAATAGACGAGGCTGTGAAGCAGTTACATAGATTGAGATAGTTAAACCATGTATTATGCATTCATTTCTAACCATCGCCTTCCTTGACAATGGGCAACGTTGGCTGACTGACATAGGTACGATCAAGTTGGAAAAGAGCTATTCACTGCTCGTCCAACAAAAACATGGCTTCATCAGTCACTGGTATCCACAACAGTTAGTTTAACCCATCTCTAAGTAGGGAGATGTATACTGCCTGGTTGGGGTAATCGGGAGGGTGGTGAGAACCAATGACGACTGGAGACAATCGGTGATATGGCTGACTCAAAGTGATTGTTCTCGGTGATGGCTGTCTGATGCAGATGCATCCACTTTTTGTGACGTATAATATTCAATAAAACTGCATTGTTCTTCCATATTAATATTCTTTTAATCTCATATGTATGTTTTGCATTTCTTTTTACTTTCTTCTCTTGTTTTGTGTGCTAAGTGAAGTGTGGTGACTCGAACTGCTGCTGCATATCGCTGCAAAGTTCTATGTTGTAACGAACCAGTCAGTCCTTTTCTTCTGTTTTTTGCCATCCTCTTCAGTTAGGTGCACGACTGACCATAATCTCACATCTCTTCTTCCAACTCACCTGCGCACCGAAGACCCACTCGTCCGTCGCTTCCAATTGGGATTGGACTCAAGTTATGGATGCTCTGTATTACGCGCGATGCCATTCGATGGCCTCCTTATTCAATGTATGGCCGATCAACCAATCTACAATCCATTTCTCTTACATATTCGTTGAGCGATGGGCTCTTACCTGTTGGTTTGTCCCACTACAGAGTTTCCTATCGCTAATTCTTTCTGGCCGGCTATTTGATCTTCAGTGTGGAGCCAGCCAACCAGCGAAAGTGACAGCTGTTGATAAATGTCCACAGCAGGCGGTTGGAAATCCTTTCCATGACGCATCCACTAAGTTTCTAACTCATACAGAAGAACTGACTGACTGACTTAACATTGGTGTTGAAAATCTGAATCTTGCTCCTTATGCTAAGTGTAGAAGAGTGCAGAAGATTTCCAAACTGATTTCAGGTTGATGGATGTGTATCTTGCTTGTCTTACGGATTCTGGATGGCTGGCTGACTTTGACATCTTCATCCGTGCCATCCGTCTGTAGTTGGAACGATGCTTCATAGCCAGACAAGTGAATGAGGTAAATTCTTTTAAATCTCTCTCACTGATGTTGATTGGTGCTGGTAGTTGCTATTATTTGGTTGGTTATCTTCATCACCCCTGTCTCCGTCTTCTCTATGTTCACTTGAATGGAGTCTTGTTTTCGCTACCAGCCAGCCTCTTCAGCAAGTTTGTTGGTTTTCGCCTAATAAGTCTTCGAGTTCGTGTGACATTAGACACATATCATCCAAGTGCGAAATCAAGATCTTCTAGAGTTTTCTTATCGGTCACTGAAGCGTATTTCTGTTCTCTCACTCACTCCCACAGCACAGTCTTCCACATAATCCAGTCCGCCACAATTAGGAATATCATCCCTGGTGATATTAGACAGCTAGCTTGTCTTAAACCAGTATTTACTTCGAACGCCTCACTGAGGTTTCCATAAAAGGATCACCTGACACGTGCCACTATCATATAGTTGCTCGATGAGGTTGATAAAGACTCGGGCATTGCACGCCGTAATGTTGAATTAGCTTCCTAATTACTTCTCGCTCAACGCTGCAATATCGAAGGCCTTTTCGAAATCGATGAAGTTGTTGAGGTAGAGAGAGAGGTTTGACTGCCATTCTATGCTTTGTTGGTTGACGATGCATCAAAAAGCACAGAGGCGATGTAAATTAATCATAAACCAAATTTATGTAATTTAAATAATACTTATCCATGCCTGTACAATTCGTGTGTGCCTATATAGGCAGGAGTAAATATGTTATTATTACTATTATTTGAGTAATAGAGGGTGACATAATTGATATAATTACCCAGAAGTGGCTTTGAAAGTAAAAATAAAAGTTGTAAATTACGTAGTACTCAACGGCACAAAGGAAGAAAGCGTTAGAAATTTGATAATGTTAAAATTGTTATTGAGTAGTGTGAAGAAAGGTGGTAGTTGAGTGCCCATTTAACAAGTGTGCAGAGGGTGAGAAAATGTACAAAAGGAACATGTGAGAGGGCGATAATAGTGAATTAGTTACCAGAGTAAAAGCAAACTAAAAGTAAAATTGAAACTAAAAATATTTTTTACAGGGAACGACCAGTGAAGAGGTTAAGACCATGGTAGAATAAACGACTGGATAACCTTTTCCTGTACACAGGGTTCGAGGTTGTATTGACGAACTGCCGACTCATCTGCCACACATAAATGCCGAAACCTGAAGCCATTTGTATCACTTGGCCTCACCTTGTAGATGATTTTCAAAGACAGCTCTAGTAGAGCTACATGCCTCCAGAGTTCACCAAGTGCACGAGAATTGAGCTAGTAACTAACTGTCTTGCATTGCTAACCTAACGTGTCGGACAATGTTCAGAGATACGTTTGGAAAGTGTGCGGCCAATATAACTAGCTCCACACGAGCAGGTGAATTTATAAACACACACTGAAGTGGCCCGTCCAAAGCGGCAGTTTATCTCTCACATATCCATTGATCATTTGTCGGGTGTACAAAATCATCCATAGCTAAGCCGCAAAGAAGGTTTTTCTCAATGATCTGCATAAGCAGCAGTTCTTCAAGATCTCAGACACGGTATCAACTATAAATTCAACGTTCATTGATAGCAGTTTCTTCACCACACCGTTTTGGTTCTTTCAGGCTTTTGCTTTACCTTCATGTTTTTCTCGATAAATCTTGGAGGATATCCACTTTCTATGAGGACTTGTCTGAATCTTTCCGATTCCCCATCAATTGTATCACTGACAGGCACATATCCATGTTATTCTTGAAGATAAGAAGTGGATCAGATTTCTCATTCGTTTTTTTCAAAGGGACCCAATTATGAAAATTCAAGTACTGACCATCCCATATTGGTTTCCTGTGGGTAGATCTTTGAAGAGAACCAACAGATCCATTTTAGAAAAACATCCAAAAAATAAAATTCTGGGTTCACCTCTGATTCGAACATGAATTGGATGGCATGACGGCAACTGTTGAACTCCTTAGTTATCATTTCCATGTTGGTATTCTCGTCACATATATGATGAAAGTATCATCCATGTATCTTTGATACATATGGAAACTATCGATAGTGGGTCGTAACGTATTAAAAGTATGAACCAATCATAGTTGATTTCTCAGTGTAGTAGATTTCTTCCTCACAAAACATGAAAACTGGGGATGGAGAGAGATGTCATCAAGGAGTTCGATATGTATTACCGTTATGTCCATGATACACATTCATCTTACATAATGACAATATCAACATAAATGAATTTTTTCATTGGACACTAGTCAGTAGTGACTAGTGTAATGTGTCAAGTCGTTCGTTTGGTGCAGACTGAATTCCATCAATCAGTCAAGTTTGCAATGTAACTTCTCTCACAGATACCTTCAAGAGTACATTAACAAGTACGGAAAATTTGAAGGCTCAAATATCAAGCAAATCACAGTGGGGAAGAAAGCCCATCTACATTCAACTTGATTTTGAAGGTGAAAATATTACAGCAATTGTCAACAGAAGATTGAGGATGTCATTAGCCAGAGCCTATCCTGCAGCTAGGTAAGCTGGTTCCCGTCTATCGAAAAATTTGCTCTCCTTTTGTGCAATCAAAATTCGACAGATATCTTCCACATGTTAACAACTCCAACTGTATATACAAATTTGCGAGGAAGTATCCGCGGGAGCAGTTACATTGGAAGAACAGAAAGGAGGAGAAGGGCATACCTCCAATTTTCTGAACATGTACCAAAACGCCTATGTCTCTATGTGGGAACAAATGCTACGTTCGAACAGCGCCATCGCCAGACATCTCCTTGACACGGGCCATCAGGTGGACGTCACAAGATCGTTCAAAATTACCAGAAGGCAAAAGAGTTCAATTCTTCCTAATTGTGCCGAAGCAATCTCCATCAAGCATCTGAAACCCGATTTATTTATGTGTTCAGAAAGAAGCAGTCAGTATCAATCTTTCTTTGCCCTGACCTGTGTGGTAACTGGAAGTTTTCATCCTCTCTTTCATCTGATTACTTAATGCCGGAAGTTTCCATTGTGTATGTTCATTATTGCTCGGAATAGTGTTTAATGTTATATATATATATATATATATATATATATATTACTCTATGCATATGTTGACTGATTGACTTTTGGTCACAAATGAACTCTTCGTGTATGTTAGTGTCTTTTCTGTAGATATACTTCATAATGTCTTTGGGCTGTAACCAGCCAACGAAACAAACAATGATAGTGGTACCATCTTCGTATTCGGCACAAACCACACTGTTGTAGTTCTTGCTTTATTTAAATTCATTAAGGGGAATATAAATGTGTGAAATCTACTAGTTGATTGTTTTGGCAGCTTCTAATCAATAATTATTTTCAATGCCACCAATCCCCTCCCCAGTATCCCTATAACTCATAAGTGTTATGGACTAAAGTAACCACATGATGATCATCAGGAACTAATTGAAAAGGGATATATATATATATATATATATATATATATATATATTGGTTGGAGGATTTCACCATGAGCTAATATCGGTTGGTTAGAGAACGATTGGAAAACCACCTGGAAGTACTGCACAGCCAGCTGTTTCGTCAGCCTAGCTTGGGACTGACTCTTTATCAGTACGCAGTTCAGTACTCCCTACAGGTTTTCCAATGGTTCTCTAACCACCAACCGATGTTAGTGTTCATGATGAAATCCTCCAACCAACCAATCAAACAAACAAAATCCCTACAAAACCAATACTTGAATATATATATATATATATATATATATATATTATCAAATGGGAATTTTCAAATGATGTAAAACACACATACACACTACATACCACTAACTGCTTTCATGACCACATGTAAGGTGATACCGCATAGGCAAACGAAGAAACCAATCAAATTGACATTCGATATGACATCACCGTTGAATTTTGCAGCCAAATACAGCGTGCAAACTTCCTAAAAGACAAAAGATTATTCGAAGAGTATGCACACAGTTAAATAAGATTAGAATAGAGCATAAATAAAGAGAAATAGATAGGTAATCAATCAGTCATTAAGCTTATAGAAAGAATATCTCGTTATATATATTTTGACTTTTTGTTCTGTCTAAATACATCAGTTTATTTTCACAGTCAATATTGATATTGGTTGGAGGATGTCATTGTATGAGCACTGACATCGGTTGGTTAGAGAACCATTGTAAAACCTGCCACAGGGAGTACTGGATAGTCATTTCGTCCTACTTTGCAGCTCTTCATCAGTACGCACCGACCCAACTGTGCTTCGGACCCAGGACCTTTTGGTTACAAGGCCAGAGAGCTCGTAAACGATTAAGCCACTAGGACCCGATCCAGTGGTCCATGAATTCATGACATGATGAAGGTGAGGCAGTAACTCATAGAAGAAGACACTGGGAAATGGTTGCGCTATGTCGCAGTCAATCAAAAAAAGCTAAGATGAAAAGGAAACATTGGAGTTGTTACAACAAGGGAACTTATGTAAACTAATCCTAGCCTGACAACATTTGAAAATGATCACTTACAACTTAAAACGCTGATGATTACCAAACAAAGAATATACTTCTTGATTGGACACTACTACTACTAGTCAGTAACTAGTATAATGTGCGTGTGTGCATCTAGTCCTAGACTGAATTCTATCAGTCAAGTTTGCAGATACACGCCTTGATGACTGACTGAGTGACTAATGAGTGCCAACTAGCACGAAACCTAGGTAGAGCAAGGCAAGGCCTACTTCCTATGGCCGACTGCCTCCAACCATCTAATACCAACAACTCACCACAGTGCATCGTGATGGCGAGCCAGCCACCTAGTCTGTTTATCGGTGGCCACATTGTAAATTTCACTGATAGAATTCAAATCACGGAATGTACACATTTGATCATAGGGAATAATAAAAAGACGGTTAAAACGAAGAAAATTTCCTTTTCGACGAAATCATCTTCAACTAGGCTGTATATTCGTGTATTTCATCTAACCATCCTGTCTACTTTGTTATTTCTACATTTCCAACCCCTTAATTGCACAATATGTCAATCTTCTCAGTAATTATGATGAGCCACCCCCCCTTATTTATTATGGCATTTTAATTCCTAAATGTAATTTTATTAATTTGCCCCTTGGCCGCAAATTATTTTGGAACTTTCCCACACATTTAGTATATAATTTCGCTATTTTAACCAGAAATATTTCTAGGATAATATTACAACCGATCCACCTTACTATATACTGTATCCAATCTTCGTACTTATTTCACTTTGTAATTTTATTAATTTGACATTTGATCGGAAAAACTTCTGGAACTTTCTCACCCACTTACTCTACAAATACACGAATATACAGCCTAGTTGGTGATTTTGTCCTAAAGAAAATTCTCTTCGTTGCAACCATTCTTTTATTATTCCCTATGAAAGAATTCAGTCTGCACCAAACAAAAGACTAGAATCACACGTCACACTAGTCACAGACTAGAGTCCAATCAAAAATATCCAATACAGTCAGTCTTACAGGAGGTCAAACTCGAGCCCAAATAACTAGCTCAGTGGTGGTAACGTCTCTGATTCACTGAAGTACTCACTGGGTGGTGACGCGCCGGTTCGAATCTCAGAAGGAGGGACATGAATTGTTCCATCAATGTGGTTGCAGATATACGCCTTGCTCCCGACCGATAGCTGCTATCTTGACGTGGTGGTCGGGCTTGCACATCGCGATGACCCAACAAGCTACACTGGCTGGAACCAATGTTCCTGCAGGAAGGTTGTTAGGATAGCGATTAGACTAAAAGAAGTTACCGGCATTGTGTAAGAATCTCTCTTGTACTATTGCTAGGGGTCTGAGGGCGAAGTCGTACTGCTGGGGAACAGGGATGTAACAGCAGTGAGGTGTTTCCCTTAGATGCCCACCACGTCAGCTATGCTGTGTCTCCACCTTGGAGAGAGAGGGTTAGAAAAAATCGACCCCAAAAATTGTACATCCCGACTTACCCTACGGTGGTCCGTAACCGGCGGTAAGTTTACTAATACGGAACCAATCCCAGAAACCAGTTCATACAGGCCGTGAGTGAGCGGCCTCAAGTACTTGTACCCTGGGCTCTGCGGTCACGCAACACTAACCCTCTTTCTGTTTCAGGTACCCGAAGAATCAATCAACTTCCACGGTGTGGGCAGCCGGGAAGTAACAACCGCCCACACACTTTCAAAAGCACACAAAGCCTCTCTGAGCATCATTTTCTTTTACTCACATCACCTTCCTCATCTTGCTTCGCTACTACAGTTAGTACTATTCTGCAGGCTAGTGAGTCATCTTCACTTCACTCTGTGTCCACAAACAAAAGTGAGAGCCATAGAAACACCCCAGATAGCCTTTTAAAGCCACATCGCAACTTCATATAGGAGCTTTTAACGTCAGGACCCTCTGCCAAATCGGACAACAAGCATCACTAGCAAGAACTCTGGCATCTCGAGCCATAGATGTATGCTGTTTTTCGGAGACACGCATACAAGACCCGAGTGTGGTCATTCATTTAACCTCACCCGATCAACAAGGTGAATCTGTGAAATTCACTTTAAGGGTGTCAGGAGACCCCTCAGCTAGTTTGTAAGGACTCGCAGGTGTAGGGATAGCACTGAGTGTTAGGGCGGAAAAATCACTTCTTGACTGGATCCCAGTAGATAGTTGTATGTGTGCGGTCCGTCTGAATGGGTCCGTTAAAAGAAGGAAAGACGGCGCTACCCGTCGTTGCCTTTTCGTAGTCTCCATTTACGCCCCAACAGACTGCAGTTCGGATGAACTAAAGAATGATTTCTACCTGAAACTGTCTAATTTTCTGCAAAAGGTAAACCGTTCAGTTATAGTTGTTTTAGCAGGCGACTTCAATGCCCAAGTAGGGAAGTTGTGCCAGACTGAGAAGTATGTAGGTGGTACGTATGGAGTTCCTTGCCGACGAACCGACAACGGTGATCGTCTTCTCCAGTTTTGCTCAGATAATCATCTGTTCCTAGTCAGCACTAACTTTAGGCACAATGAGAGACATTGTGTAACCTGGCGACCTCCATCACCAAATCAACGCTGGACTCAGACAGACCACATAGCGATATGGTATCGTTGGCGAGGGTCAGTAGAAGACTGTCGCTCCTTCTGGAACACCTGCGTAGACTCTAATCACGCTCTGGTTCGCGCACGTTATGCTTACGACTAAACGGACATAAGAAATTGCTGGCAGCGAAACAGTTACGTCTCCAACTAGATCGAGACACTGAGTCATTATTTAAGGAAGAAATAGCGAAACGAGTGTCTGAGGTCGACAGCAGGACTTCCCCTGAGGTAGCCTGCCACAACATACAGTTAGCTGTGGACACAGCCGTGAAAGCTGTCAATAAGCTGAAACCTAAAGTTAATAAAAGCCATTGGATCTCTACCGCCTCATCCGGACTGATTGACGCAAGAAGACTGATTCCAGCGAGCTCCGATTATGATGAGGAGCGAAAGGTACTTAAACAAAGACTAGCAAAAAGTCTTCGCAACGACCGTGAACAGTGGTGGGCGACAAAAGCGAAAGAGCTGGAAAAGGCATCGGCGATTGGCAACACCAGACAACTATTCAGGCTTATCAGGAAAACAGGTGGCAAAAGGCAAATGATAAGTGAAACAATCTCGGAGAAAAGTGGCACCATAATTAGCTCCCAGGATAGACGACTGGAACGCCGGAAAGAACACTATGTGGAGCAGTTTAATTGGCCTACAGCCACACTTAACCTGCCGGACATCCAACACCTCCCTGAATAGGATATAGGCACAGGTCCTCCGTCCCTAACTGAGGTTACCAAAGCTGTCACTAGTCTGAAACAAGGCAAAGCAGCAGGACCTGATGGAATGACTCCAGAAGTATTTAAGTACGGTGGAGACAGTTTACTGTCTGCGTTAACTGTGGTTCTAGGCAGCGTCTGGGAATCAGAAGAAGTCCCGTCGGATTGGTGTAAGTCACTGATTATCCCCACAGAGGGATTAGCTTGACTGATATAGTATCTAAAGTCCTAGGCTCAATAATATTGCGTAGACTAAGTGGTGCTCGGGACGCACAAACACAAGAGAACCAGGCAGGCTTTAGAGCAGGAAGAGGGTGTATTGATCATATCTTCACCCTTCGACAGATTCTAGAACATAGGCATTCCTACCGGCGTCCGACAATCATTATATTTCTTGACCTAAAGGCGGCATTCGATTCTGTCGACCGAGAGGCACTCTGGCGATGCTTGGCTGTAAAGGGAATGCCGAGAAAATACATTGCACTGATTAAGGCACTCTACTCGTACTCATGCAGCCAGGTGAGGGCTTACGGAGAGTTGTCATCTGAAATGGTGATAACTAGTGGTGTCCGTCAGGGATGCCCATTATCCCCATTTCTATTCAACTACATCATAGATGTACTTCTCACTTCAAAGACTCACGGATTGACTTGTTGCCACCAGGGAATAATCTCGTTGACTTAGAATATGTGGATGATATAGTCCTTCTAGGCGAGGACGCTGACAAAATGCAGAGTCTTCTGAACATCTTGAGCTGCAATCTACGAATGTTTGGCATGCGATTCGCTCCCGCCAAATGTGAGATGATGTTACAGGACTGGACTACACTGACTCCTAGTTTAGAAATAGGAAGTGAAGTGGTAGAGCACGTTGACCGCTTCACTTATTTGGGAAGTACCATCAGCCAGTGCCAACGGGTTGATCTCTGACGAAATCTCAGCATGAATAGAGAGGGCTACTTTCGCATATGCCAGTTTACGCCGCCTCTGGCGTATATGTGATATCCGCTATCGACCAAAGGTCGGGTGTACTGCTCAGCAGTCCGCTCCGTCCTCCTTTATGGCCGGCTGTGAGACCTGTCCATTGAGAGTGGAAGACATGAAAAGCCTGGCTAGCTGTCTTTGATGATAGG